TCCTGTTTTCAGCCTCCCCAGCGCTGGGATTGCAGGCATGCACCACCATGCCCAGACTCTATCACTAGCTCAGTGCTCCCTGGGGGCAGGGCTGACGTGGCATGTGGCACTGGTGCTCAAACCCTGGTCCCTGCACTTGCCAAAGCAGGCGCTTGGTCCCCTGAACTATCTCGCCGGCCCTAAGACTTTTCTGGGAGACTGTGAAATCAGTTCTATCTTTTAAAAGTTAAACTCAGTGTGCTTCACACTTTGCAGATAAAATTGGCATGCTGCATGTAATTATTTTAACCTGATTAGAAATTATAATCATAGACTCTCTATATAAATATAGAGTTTTGACCAAAGAGAATTATTGCATCTACGGTCATAGTCTGTGGTATGATTATTACTGGAACACAGTTTGCTACTAAATGTGTAATTTTTTCTCACAAGTTTTTTTTCATTCTACATACAGTGATAATGTTGACTGTTCTTATGGATAGGCAGTGGTATACTAATGCCAGTTAAGTCTATTTACATTTTTGTCCTATGTTCTTAGTGAATTTTATTGACATTGTTTGCTGATGGAGCATTTTTAACTTTTGTTTCTGAACCCTTTTATAGTTAATGGAATGCTGGATTTTTCAGATTTTCTTAAGGCTGTGAATGACAGCTCCTGTTTGGTCTCCCAGGATCCAGGTAAAAAGAGTACTTGTCCACATTATAAAAGGATGACTTTTGATAGAATTGACTTTAATGTGGCCTAGATGTATTAATTTATCTTTTCTCAGAAAATATCCCCCTTTGAACCTCAGTAGTGTGGATTTGGAAAATTACATGCTTTTCTTTGTTTCATTTATTGTCACAACATCCCAAATTTTTATTTATTTTTTATTTTTAATAATTTTATTGAGAAACAAATATCAGTGGGCCAGTTTCACAATTGATTACTGGCACATTTTCAATAATTAATAAATTGAATACTCTTATCTTAGTAGTTATTCGTTGTACAAGATGCAGACATGACATCCTGTCTTAAACCTATTATAACAAACTTCTCTATTCATTTAATTAAGAGAATGGAGCTGTATATCTATCCTA